CGTTTCAAGACGATGATTTTTTTCCAAAAATATAAAAATTGGGCAGAAGCTCCCGTACGGGCAGAGCCCATTTTCAAATGAAATCAAGGCCAGGACAATCGGGGAGAGGGTGGAGGAGACACAAGTTAGATCTGCAACAAAGTTCAAATTCCCCATGGCTCATTAATCTAAAAAAAAAAAAGGGTCTATTCAGGAATAGATCTAGCAATTCTAAAGGTACCGACTTATTTGATAATCACGAGTAGGAGAGTCCATTTTCAGCAGTAAACCAGCCTCTAAAAGTTGTATAAAAAAATAATTCAATTGGTGTCGGTACTTGTTTCATGAGTCTAAATAGATATTATTGGCTAAAAGAAAACAATTAAATGAATTAGTTATCAAAGACTTTGTCAGATATTCGCGATATTCAAGAGAATATATTCATTCATCAATGAACAAATGCCAGCTGCACCCCCTTCACAGACGAGTTCATCAAGCTTGTTATGATCTTTAAAAAGAGGTCACCATTACGGAATCATCGATAAAATGAAATGGTCACGTGACCAGAGAAAAACACCAATTTTAATGACTAAAAACAAATTGATTTAGATTTCACCATATTTTCAAGAAATTTAAGCTTCTTATCTTTCTATCCAAACCAGATTACAACAATACTGGGTACTGAATTAATTACAGGACGCTCTGAATGAGACCACCCGTTCGCATGTTTGCGATCTCGGCTTCAAGCCCTAGCTAGATCTAGGTCAGGCAAAGGTTGATGACTTTATGAAGAACTATGTAACACTATAACAATCTAATTAACAAAATCAACTTACCGCACATCTCCTGAATATCCCTATCCATGATTGGAAGCACAATGCAGCCCTTAATATGTACTTATGTACGTGAATAGAGCGTAATCGAAAATAGGTAGTAGTGCACGTAAAGAATTCTTCGCCATTGCTGAATCAAGCGCGTCGCCAGAGATGGGACCAGCATGTGTGTTTACAAAAACAAGCGGCGCTAAACGGATGCCAGACCAATCGTAGTCATTTTTGCACACGATTCCCTTGACATGTTCTACTTTTGAGTAGACCAGGGTTCTTTCTACCAATCATTTGTCAGACTTGGAGATTTCCATTCTAAAAATAGGTTCCAAAACTCCCGATATTTCTGGGTCAACAATTAACTTTAGCAACAAGCGCTTGGTACCGGGTGAAAGCTTATTCAAAGCTCGTTCTTGCACTTTTTGTTTCATGACGATAGCAGTTATAGGCGCGTAGCGCGAAGGCTTTTTATGAAGCACCCTAAATTTTGTCGCCGCGGCCGGCATGAAAAATGACGCGAAAAACGCATTCCCGTGCATTTCGGTGACCTTTTTAGATAGCTTACTATACAATATCTCGTTCCGTGCCGTCCTCAATAGTTTGATTTTAGCTAAAAACAATAGTTGAACTGACTTAGTTCGAAACGGGGTGAAGATTGGTGTCAAATTAGAAGAGTTATGGTTGATTAAAAATGACCAAATTTCGAGCTTCCTACACGCTTTCAACTGCGCAGAGGCGGGGGTTTGTGGTACCTATTTATTAGGAGAATTTTCTACGGAGTCTAGTGCCGTGTCAATGGCAGTGGCCTCCGCAGAGAAAATGGAGGCTTTGGGTGTGTACTGTTTGAAGATAGGGCTGCGGCGCCTACATCATTGTTCTTTTTGGAGCTTTCTGTGAAGATAAGCTCCGCGCCGGGGTATTTTTCTATAAGTCTTTTGTATTCTGCTTTAAATGTTTTGGTGTTTGTGTTTGCTTAGTCGTGTGTCGTCAGCTGTAAGTCTACTTTTGCCTTGGCGAGGTGCCACGGAGGAAGGTCAGGGAAAAGAAATTATTGGATGTCTTGTTCGGAAAAGAGTATGTTTTTGAGGTCCTCAAGGATTTTGAGACCGAAGGGTTTGATGAGTTTTTCGTTGCTTTGGAATTTGTTTATTGTGTCTGGGTTTGTTTTGAAAATGCAGTCGTGTGCTGGGTTCTCTGGTGTTGAGCTGTTTATTTGCCTATTGTAGAGAGAGTTGTGTGCATCTGAGTGCGGTGAGTGATGGTATGTTTGCCTCGGCCTGGAGGCTCTCCACCGGAGAAGTGTGGAAAGCCCCCAGGGCGAGGCGGAGTCCTTGGTTTGGACCGGGTCTATCATTTTTGGGAAGTGTGGTTTTGCCGATCCGTAGACTTGACAGCGGTTTATACAACTAGCAGCTGCTGCTGAACAATCACATTTAGAAGGCAGATTGATTTCCCTATTTGTTGCTAATCTAAAAAGCAAGAGAAGGCACAGATTTTGGGTTCACGACTTTTTAAAAATAGGAAAGTTAATTGAGAATAATATTATCATTTGGCGAGGGAACTGGAACTAGACAAGGACAAGTACAGAGAGTATTTTCGAATGTCACCGAAAAAAGCTTGAAATGGTGTTGAGTTACGTCGGACTCATTATTCAGAAGAGAGCGACTATAGACACAAAGCAGAGGCTGGTTTTCTGCATAATGTGTTTCAAACTTGTCATCTTCACCACCCCCTCCCCCACTACAACCCTGCTTGAGAGGGCTGGCAGACCGACAAATTGAAAGACCTAGGCTATTACCGCACTACGACAGTTCGTCCTGGGACAGACCCGTCTGGAGTTTGAAACCTTTGAACTGGAGTGTAATGTGCTGCATCTATTGGGACAGGATAATTTTCTCGCATTGAGCCCCGAGCTGTTATGAATAGCTACAAAATCGGTGGGACAGGACTATCCCAGTCCCGGGATTGTATCGTCTGTGATTATAGAGAAATACACTGTACAGCCGCCTACCGCATTAGGAAAACGCTGTCACAGACTTGGTAGCGCCTCCTGTCAAGGTCATGGTGCTTGCACTGGGTTTTTTATTTGGAGGGAGGGGCAGGGGAGATAAGTGTCTTACGGCGCTCGCAACACATTAAACGTTTTCAGTTGGTACGAAATTTTGAATTTTGCCCGGGTGGCGGCCAAAGCCTACTCTTATCGATTTTACTCCTTTAGACCACCAAGGGATCTTTAAGGTGCGCAATTTGAACACGGGATCTCCGAGATTTTTCGTCCTCGTCCGAGAAGGCTAGGGGTAGATCTTTCCTACCAGAAGATCAGGGGGTGAAGCTGAAAAAAAGCAGTAAGAAGGAGCCAGCGAGTAGCGTACAGAGACGGCAGAAAAAGCCAAGAGCCTAAAGGAGGGGGAAAGGAGGTGAGGGGGTGAGGGCAGAAGTGGAGACGAAAGCAGACGACAGAACATAGCTAGAGAGCAGGAAAGGAGGTAAAAGGAGACAGTTTTAAAGAAGAAAATTTTTCTGTCGCTACCCGGATTCAAACCCGGGACCTTTGAATGAGAGGCAAACACCTTAACCCCAAGGCCATAAAGCTTTCAACGGATATTGAAAAATATGGTGGGCCTTGGTCCTCCTCCAATATGATAAAAAGAGCGAATTCTTATCAATCTAAGAAGGAAAAGGTTGATGTACTGACAGCACAGGTCAAGTACTGGAACATCCTGATCAATGCGCGGGGAGGATTTTTTTCTCTCCTTGTAATGGTAGGCAGCATTCTGAGGAGAAGTTAATTGAAAACATCCAAGAAATTTTACGTGTAAATAAATGTACGAAAGACGTTTCACAGGGTTTGTCAATCATTTCATTCACAAGCCTCAGGAACAGGCACCTTTATTGCATGAGACACTTTCTCAAACTCGAGAAGAAGAAAGGCTTATACCGTACGACTTAATAAAAGTCAGGTCAAAAATCAAGAACCCAGACTGCGCATTCCGCAGAAGTCACAGTCATAGGGCGCAGAATTAAAAAGAAATGGAAAAATCTTGACGGTAAGTTCACCTGGCAACAAGGTGAAATAAATTATAGTATTGTAGCTCTCCAAAAGGAGGATATGATTGGTGCTGTTGTCGAGTTCAGTGGCTCAGAAGTCCATGTTACTTTGAACTTCAGTTGTGAAGTGAAGAAATAGAATCTCGTTGTTGATTAAAAATATTTATAGTCTGGTGATTGGTAATATGGTATGGTAACGTAATGAGTTTACTTATGTAGGCTACTTTACCTACTTTTTGTAGCCTCGGTTACCTTTTATACTTGTGTCGAGGGGAGAAGCAAACATATTTCTCTTACCGGAGACAACCCTAGACTGTCCACAGCGTATCAGTCAAACACTCAAACTGGACACTGGTTAAAACCTTTTTATTTAAAGCCTACCAACCCCAATAAGGTCATATAAATGCCGAAGATTAAAGATGTTCAAGAGTAGCAAACACAAAAAGAAGGAAGAGAGATCAGGACGATAGATGTTTGTTTGGAAAGAAGGAGAAAATCACACCAGAGCACCCACCAACCACCCACACTTTTTATAATGCCACCACTCGAAGTCTTCGCATTAGAAAGAACAGATCCTCTTTTATCTATTTTTCATTACATGTAACAGAAATTCCTTGCATGATGGCGTGGACAAAGGAACAGATCCATACGAGTGCCCCTACGATTAAGTTGTTGTCAAGCTGATGACCTGATGGTTGTCAAGGGAAAGTCTTACAGAACTTGCCATATCAGAGGAGTTTTCAAGGTTCTTTGGGCTTGGTCCTATCGGAGACATAACCTTCATAGGGCATTAAACTGGCGTTTGTGGTGAAGCGGTTAGGAGCTTTGCTGTCGCACGCAGGAGAACCGAGTTCGATTCCCGAGTGAAGAGAGGGGTGTAAAAGTACATTTTAAATATTCAAAGAGCAGTAAATCCATGCTATACTGTAGACTACAATAAACCCCTCCTCGAAAAAAAAGAGAAAAAGACACTCATTAACAAAATAACACCCAAAAAGCCACACCCCTCCCCCCCAAGAAAACCCCCACACAAAACAACAACAACAACCGAAAACCAAAGCAAAACACCCCTCCTCCACGATAAGGATAACCTTGTACAGTGTTAAAAAGATGTAAAATCCATGCAACACATTTCCTCCAACGTACCTGGCGACGCACTTCATTGAGACAATCAACTCGATATAGCAACACCCACAATAGAAGAACGATTCTGACGAAAAGCTGCATTATCTTTGGAAAAACAAACATATCCGTGGCCACTCACTTCTATTTGAAGAGCACGAAGGACTCAAGACTGTGCTTAAACTAAAGCACACGTCAACGATGCGCGAGATATACAAAGTTATTACCCAGTTCTGAATATGCCAAATCTAATTCTTTTTAGTTTGAAATCCTGGAAGTTACATAATAACCAACCTGGTGTTAAAAAGTGTGGCGACGTGTTTGCTTAAAAACTGCAAGTATATTTACACAATTATGCAAACTACCGATGCGATATATTGTTTTTGTACTCATATAATAGACCCACAGCCCACGTATACAGTGGTGAACGTAGGCCTTTGCGATAACAGAAATGAAATGTCAACATCCACTCTTGGTGTTCTCGGCAATTTACCACAGTACTCGCAGAGGAAATGGCAAATTAGACTTCATGTATTGTATGTTGAATGTTGCGGTATTCAACATTGCCGTGACAATTTTCACGTATCATTATCCAGTTGTGTTGATGATGATGACATGCTTTAAAACAACCATTATTATCATTCTTTCAGGCGCACTGCCAAGGGGCACTCTCATTTTCCCCAGAGTTGGGCAACCCGTGAGCCTAATTTTGTCAGAAAAGTTTAAAAAGGGGGGGGGGGGGAGAAGAAAGAGCGGTTGCCATGACATTGCACGGTCCAAAAATATTACAAAACAAGTCTTCATTTCAGACCTGCCACTCTATGAAATCTAAAACTTGGGATTTCAGAGTAAAAAAAGCAGGATCTGATGGAAAAAAAATCGGAATCAACAGCAAATCAGTCATAAGGGGCATTGGGGAAAAGGGGAGGTCCTGGTTCCCTTTTATGAGGCAAGCATGCAAGACAAAACTTGCAGGAATAACTTCACATTTGGGCCTCAAAGTAGAGGATAAAACTGTAAGAGAGCATGTAGTCGAGTCGCGGTTGGATAGACTGGGGGAGCGTAGGTTGCAGGGATGCTGAAACTCTCGTAGTCTTGAAAATAGCTTACACATAACTCATCGCATATATGTATATACACTTAAGGACACCCCCCCCCAAAAAAAAATAAATAAAATAAAATAAAATAAAATAAAATAAATTTGAAAAAATAATAAATACAAAAAATTAAAATAAAGTAAAACATAAATCAATAGATCTAATAATTTTTAAAAAAATGAAAATGAAAAAAAAAATCACTCAAAGGTTCTTCATTTATTAATTTTTCGTATTCCTTATTATCATCAATTAGAACTTATATCCACGGTAAGCACTTTAAGGGGTAAGCCCAGGCGTAAAAAATGCCCCCACCCCCTCCCTTCGGTCATCCCATACCGGTTCAGTCCTGAAAAACACCTCGACCAATGCGACCAACGTGAATGAGCTTTGTTGACCCCGACCCCCGACGGTCCCCGACACAGGCGCTAGTCACCACACGTACGAGGTCGTGTTATGTGGTGCGAATGGGCGTTTGGAAGTTCCACTGATAGGTCTTGAAGATGGGCCCGACTAACCAGAACTTGGACAAAGCTTGCTTTTAAAGCAACGGCAGAACGGGCATTAGATATAATATATTCTTAGGTCTATGTCATTATTGTTATAGCAATCAGGCCAACATCGGAGAATTATGGGTATTAAAGCAAAAGTAGATTTTCAGTGTATCCAAGTCGGAATTAAAAATCCATACAACTTCGATTTTAGTTGAAATAACGTGTGTGAGTCAACTGCCAGGTCCGACATTGATGTTTTAGAATATAGCGTTCCAAGTTCTTGCCAATAAAAAAGTCCATTAGGTGCTTCTAAGCAAAAGAGATTGCGATTTTCCCCTTTTAAGAATCGGACGCAACAGATGCAATGATAAAAGGAAATTGTTAGGAGCGCTATCCACTAGGCAGTCCCCTAGCGCTGCTTTGTGCACTGGGGGATTGCAAAGAAACAACCTGCGACCTTTGGATCGAGGTCAACAAGCCATCATCAGATATCAACAACATTTAAATTTCCTCCCATGACAAATTGGCAACATGACGTCTGATTTGACTGTTGGCGATGTTTTTGACAGTTGCGATGCTCTGTTTGAAAAAGTTAATGAGTATGGTAGAGCCACCTACAGTTGTTTTTTTTGTTTTGTTTTATGAAAGGCGAATGTCGAAAGGTTTGGTGATCCAGTAGAGTCATGTAGACTATATTGTAATAGTTCTTACATTGTAGATCTAGATCCCACCGATACATGTCTAGATCCAGTTAAGTTAATTAGTACCTAATACTACTAATAGTATGATGGGAGAATCTAGATCTGGAGCCAAACACTGTTTTTAAGGCGAATTTATCATTTATGCCGACAGGTTTGTTGATCCAGGATCAATCTAGATCTAGAATCTAGTAGTAACTGACTGTTGACTACACTAGATATCTACATGATAGGTCTACTCTTCTTCAATTACAAAATTTGCAGTCTGCGTCAATAATATCTAGGCCCTCTTCCTTTGCTTGTGTATAGTATTAACCCCCGAAAAAATCGGAGATTTGGAATTCCTGGTAAGAATATCATAGACCAACCATTCACCTTTCTCATAACAATTAACACAGGGAATAACTCTTCAACATTCAGAGCAATTTGGATCTATCATAAAGCACCTAAAATACCAGTCCGTCACAAAGTCTGTTAGAGTCTATAACTTCATAAACAAACCTGCCAAAGTTTTCCACGGTTTCTCTCAAAATTATAGGTGGATAAGAAGAGTACAAAAGTCTTCTGATTTGTCAGTCCGTCACGTATGGAATTGCCCTAAGGTCTATGACAAAACCCAGAGGAGCCCATTTCTTACACAAAAGGAATCAGATCAACAGTAAACTTCTTGTTCAGTTGCATTTTTTAAGCGAGGAAGGCTCAAAACAATGGATGATTAATTTTTAAAAAATTATGTGTTTTTTACATTTCCATGAACATAATTTAGATCATTTCGAGGATGAGCTTTGACCCTGCCGTCAGGGCCAACCCGGGCTGAGAGGAATACAACGTTCCAACAGAAAGACAGGTACACTCGACAGAAAATCTCCCACCACGAGAATCTGACTCAGCTTCTTCATTCGACGGCGAAGCACCCAACCGCCACTATCAATGTCGATCAAGTTATCTAGGATGCATTTCATGGTAGAATGTAGAAGAGTGAAACCTTTATGGAAAGAGGTAGAGGTAGAAAACAAGATAAACACTGGTATACGTATTAACGTAAATGCCTGTCATATTCTATTTGGATTAAGCGATGACAGAAACATCACTAAAGACAACTTACAACAAGCTAATTTGGCTATTCTTGTAGGTAAAAAGGTACTAACAAAGTACAAATATGGAGAAATAGCCAAAACATTGTATATAGCTTTCACAGAGAATCCAGTTTGAAAAAATTGTGCAGGAAAGAACAATGGCAAAGATTGGCTTAGATGGTGGCAGGACTGATGCTGATTATGATGATGGTGATGATTGTGTTCCTGACGAAGCCCTTTACAGGGCGAAACGTTGAACTTATATTAAATTTGAAAAATCTACTAAGTCTCAAACCCTTTTTTTATTCCCTGCTACGTACAATGGTGATGGTGATAATGATGATCTTAAATTATTTTTTTGTATGTTCCTGATGAAGACCTTTACCGGGCGAAACGTTGAACCCATACAAAATTTGGAAATTCTACAAGTCTCAACCCTTTTTTAAAAATTCCTTGCTGTTTACAATGATGATGATGACGATGATGATGATGATGGAATTGTTTTGCTGCAATGGTTCTTAGCTTTATTTTTTATTTAGTATATTATTCAGGAGATGTGATCCCCTAAAAGTCAATCTAGGACTCGGAATATTTGTGTTCTATAGTGATGGCCACGTTGGAAGGGGAAAGGGGGGAGGGGGGGGGGGGCTGGCTTTCGTTCTGAACATGATCAAGTAAGAGCCCGTAATTCCGGTGCAACAAGCTGGTATGTCTCAGATGAGAACAGGGTACGGGTAAGTGTTTTATTATTGATTGTGTTTACCTCTCAGGAGTGTAGATAAGGGGCTGTTCAAAAATAATCGTATATATATATATATACACATTATATAACAACAACTGTAAAAAATGTGCAGTATTTTGAATTTTAAAATTAAGTGTTAGAATTAGTGTAAACCCATTCCACATTTTTTGCTGTTGTTGTCTCTACTTAACACAAAAGAGCCAGTTGATAGAAATGGGCAGGGTAAAACAGTTACCGGCATCTAGGATTTGCATGGTTAATTATTATTTCCAGTTTGGAATTTAATTACTACCCCCCCCCCTCCTCGACTCTTCTTTCAGAAACTTTTTTTAAGGGGGGGGGGGTAATTATCATGTCCCGCATATCAGTGTACCCATGAATGATAACTTGAACCTCAAAAGAGTGCATTTGTAAAAATGAAATTGAGATTGGAGAAGTACGTCGTCCAATGAGTTAAAACATGTGTGGCTACTTTGAAGACTGGAGAGGTGAATGCATTTATGTACATTCTGCCTTAAAAATTTTTATTTTAAGGTACTTTTTCTTTTCAATTTGATGCATAAACTGTGTGATTTTTTAGCAAATTTTACTTTTGCCGATTTGACATGTGTGGGCATTTTGAAGTTTGTTCTGGTTATTCTAAATTTTATACAAAAGAACCTTTCTGTCACATCAATTTATGTAGATCTATACAATGAGCTTTTGTTTTAGTTTTAGTAGAGGTTCTACGGCGCTCGCAACTGCATAAGGTCATATGAGGGCCAGAAGATTAGAGGTGTTACAAGAAAGTAACAAACATAAAAAAGAAAGAGGGGGAGATAAGGACGATAGATGTTTGATAAGAAAGAAAATGAGCAAATGTACAAAGTCACCTTGAAAATGAAGAAGAGGACGAAGAGGAAAGAAATTCAGACCAAACAGTAGACTATGATGAGCCTGATGTACTGATATCAAGACTGAACAAGCAACATGCACCCGAACATTCACAGATCTCTTGTTTAGTTTAGTTATTGAAAGAACTAATGTCTCTCCTATTCAACCCAAAGAGCGCAGAGGACAGTCGTTGCTTTTCCAGAATATAGGAAACCACATCCATAGTACTCAAGTATTAATGAATAGATCTGAAGAATTAGACACTGTATTTCCATATTCGCAGCTTGTAGCTTCATGCTAGAAAGTGTCCAGCTCTCGCTGGAATTCCAAAAGACACGAATCATTTGCGAAATGCCAGCCTGTTGATTGTGCCATTCACTTCGTACCACAAAGATGACGAAACTAACTTTCTTCTCTGATGAAAGAAACAAGAAAGTATCCAGGCCTAAGAAGTATTTGTAAAGATTGTTCACCAACATGACCTACAAGTGGAGTATTAAGCATTAGACACCCAGGTAAAACCCTGCCCACATACCAAAAGGGTTTGATAGAAACATTACACCACAGATTTCTCCGAGACATTACTGTGACTAAAACTAACACGTTGTTACTTCAATGTAAAGGTATTTTGAAAAGTGAAGTAAGTGAAACAAGCAAAGAGGACAAATTATAAAACCATTTAAAAGCAAATATAAATAAAA